CCAGACTGGGACAAATCTATGAGAGTTTCATGCTCCAAGTGGGTGAAGAGCAGGAAAGCAATCCCTGCGGCTTGGTAAATCCAGGAAGACTTCATGGAGGAAATAAGATTTCGGGAGCTGCGGTAGGACAGGTGGAGATGTAGAACTTTTTGGCAGACTTTTGCATGCAGTAGATAGCCCTAGTTCAGTCTCAAGATGGTCTAAGCAGCAGAAACAGTGGCAACAGGCCCTTCTGTGATCAAACACCTTTACAGCTGCAGCAGGAGACAAACAAAGCCCTCTGGTTTCTGAAGCAGTGTGTAGCTTTGTTCAAGAGCACCCAGGTCCCCATTCGCCAGGCAGCGGTGTGGTTTGCAGGTATGGTTTTCACCTTCTTGGGGCCACTGTGTCCTTGATGTAGGGCCCTTCAGTCTGAGTACCTGGGACCTGAAGACTTAATGACAGGCCTCACAGAAGTGATATAACTCATGGTAATCACACCAGGGAGCCCCTGCTTAGGTTGGATGTCCTTTCCCATAGCGGACAGGGCCAAGCCCTAGGCAGCCAGGGGAGCCCCAGCTCTCAAAAAGATGAGGCATCAAGGTCTAGCCGTTCCCCTGTGCAGGATGTCAGGCAGGAGCACTGCTTCACATCACCTGGGGACAAGCGTCTTGGGAGCAGAGGGATAGCCACCGTTTCACCTGCCCAATGTGCTTAGAACCCTTCAGGGAACCAAGGGAAATAATTCCAACTTTACTGGCAAAGTCCTTTGGAGGAGGCCCAGGGAGGGAAAGAATGGTGACTGTTTGGGGAAGGGCCCTTTCGGGGCCACTCGGGTGGCTCTGTGTGTCCCCATAGGCCAGATCCTGCAAACCCTGGACTTGGAAGAGATGAATGAAATGGAGGAAGCATATGCAGGTGAGTGGCCATGGCTGGTGGCTCTTAGAGGTTCTGGTGTCTGTGGGGAAGGCTTGGAAATGAGGGAAAGTGGGGAGGTGGGCTTGAAAAATTATCATCCGGAAGGAAAGAAAATGAGACTCCCCTCTAAGGCATTTAGTTTCCCGGGTGTTGGTCAGAGCCTTGCTGGCCCCATATTCACTGACTCTCACTGCACACTCATGGGCCAGGATGGATCCTTGAACTCTTCCTAGGAGACACCACCAACTTCTTCCTTGGGGGACACAGGGACTTCCAGCCCCTTCTCTCAGGAACCTCCAGAACGCGTGTTCTCCACCATAGCTCTGGGATGCATCCTCTGCATGTCTTTCCTTTTCCCCCACCTCGCCTCTCATTGTGCCATCTCCCTGACACACTGGCTCTCAGATGTAGCTTCCTGCCTGCTGCTCTCTTAGAGATCGGAGGACTTCATTAGAGCTATTCTGTGGAGGAGGAGCAAGGCAGATCCAGGGAAAGGAAAGCAGGGAGGCCCAAGGGGGTTGGTGATGGATACAGGATGAGGGCAGGTGGCCTTGCATCGCCCTGAGCCAGGGCAGACTTGGGGTCTTGCTTGTAACCAAGCAGAAGGACACCTAGAAGAACTCTTGTTCATATCATAGAAGCTCCCAGCCCCATCCCATTTCCCTCTTCCTCCCTCAAGCAGGGGACAGGCCTTTCTGCCCACCTCGCTGCCCTGCTCTATAGTGGTGTCTGTGTTACAGCCCTGAGGCACATGAAGAGAGACCCGGATCCCATGGTCAGCTGCCTTGCCACGCAGACCATCCACGTCCTAGAAGCCAAGGAGAAGCTGCTTCTGGCCAAGCCCCCTACTTCCTGCTTCTGCAGGAGGAGACCCCAACGGGGCCACTTCTGAGCCTGCATCCTCGAGTTGAAGCTGCAGGCCTGGGCCCAAGACTGCCAGTGGCCAGCCTCTTGGGCCTTGCACTAGAAATACTATGACTGCTCTAATAAAAGGAGAAGTCCTGTACTTCTGTGGAAGGAGATGTTGATTCTTGGCTGTTTGGGGTAGAACCATGTGTTGTGAGCCAGGTCAAGGCTTGCCTCTACCTGATCTGCCAGCTCTGCCCTTCTCCCATTCAGCCAAGTGATCTGAGCCCAGAGCAGTTTCTTTTGAACCAACTTGGACTGGGAGTCAGTCTCTAGACTCCAGCTATATTGGGCAGTGTTCTTATATATATATATATAATTTTTTTTTTCATTGTACTGGAGATTGAACATAGAGCCTTTGCACTGAGCTACATTCCCAGTCCTCTTAATTTTTTTTAATTTTTATTTTGTGATAAGGTCTTGCTAAACTGCCCAGGCTGGCCTGGAACTTGAGATCCTCTAGCCTCAGCTTCCCAGAGTGCTAGGATTATAGACATGCACTGCCACGCCCGGCTCTGGGCAGGGTTCTTGATGGTAAACAATGGAGTCTGCTCAGGTTAGTGGAAACAGGAGTGATTTAATAAAGTGTTATTAGCCAGCTCACAAAGTATCTGGGGAGATCAGAGAGTTTGGTTACCACACAGCTAGGAATAGGGTGGCTCTGTTAGCACCATGGCCGCCCCTCGACTCAGCCCTGACCACAGCCCAAGAGACTGACTGTGCTCAGGCCTGGATTCCAGGCTCAGTCACTGCACCTCTGAAGAGCCAGAATGTCCTGTGCCAAGGGGATGGTCACCACCTGCTCTCTCTTACTGCCCGTGGGAGTTAGCCTGGCCCTGGCCCATCCGACAGCAGTCCCCGGATGTCTCTGGATCGATACAGGCTCATTCACTGCTCCTGTGGTCACCGACCCTACTCCTGCCTGTTATCCCTGACTTTTCCTCACTGGGCCCCAGGCAAAGCTCACAGGACATAACTCAACATTCCAGAAAAAGACAGGCTCCCCAGGGTAAACATGCACTGACCAGGCTGGAGCTCTGTCCTCTGTGGTGCCTGTCTCTGTCACCTGCCCGAGCCCCCACCCCTCTTGGCCTCTCCCTGCCATTTCCCTTCCTTGCAGCATCATCAGCCTGGGTCCGGCAGCTGGAGTCCCCTGGCCATGCCTCCAAACCTCAAATGCGCCATTGAACGCTGCCCTGTTCTCTGCAATGGTCAGGAGGCTCTTCTCATTCTCCTTGGCCTGTTCTCTGGCTCCCATGTCAGCTGCCACAGCTGTCACTAGAGAACTTATCATCTGGCCACTTTATACATGGAGGTGAATGAGAAATCTCACCAGACTCAGTGACACACTCGAACTCCTTCTAGGCCCCAAAGAGCAACCTTGCTTTGCTACAACTAATGATAGAAGGTAGATCTTATTAAAAACCTATTAATAGGTCAAGTGATTTGGGCTAAGACTGTTCTGATGATCCCACAAATCACCTTAGTCAAACGGAAGCAACAGATCCTAGGGTCATCTCTGTCCCACTATGACCTTGTCCAATTTTGTCAGCCTCTTTGGGCCTCAATTTCCTTTACTTATAAGTCGAGAGGGTTGGGAAAGAAATCATCTTTTAAGATGCCACCTAGCTCAATGAATGGCTCTCATCACATTCTGACCAGGGCCATTTACTTGTCTGGGAAATTTACCCTGAAATTTAGATCCTAAATGGGATTTTCCTTGACTCTTTTGTTTCCCAGATTTTCTAAATTAGATAGCATCCATACAATCTGGGGATAAAACACTCTGAAATACAAAAAACGAGGCCCTTAACCTTGTGCCCCTCTTCCCAAGGGTGTTGGGATCCTCAAGACATACAGAGTCCTGAACTTTGACTGTAAGCCATGAGGGGGGGACCCAGACTCTGAAGGCCCCTGCAAGGTCACCAGAGCCTGGTCCCAGATTTCACTCCCATGCCCAGCCTGGCCACAGCTGGCTGTGTGCAGCTGTTACTTCCTGCATCACACAATGGGCTCCGGACTGTGGGGCAGGGTCCTGTGGAAAACATGGCCTGTGGGGAGCAAGAGTGGGCCTCAGCTGGCCAGTCGAAAACAACTGTCCTCCTGAAGCCACCCTGCTTTCCAAGGCAGGAAGCTCTGTGCCTGCTGAGGGCTGTGGCTCAGGGTCCCCTCTTACTTGACAGGAAGCCTCTTGAGGACTCTTCCCTGGGACACCCCCCGGCTCCCCAAAGATTGCTTGCCATGAACTTGGGAACTGCTGGCTGGATTGTGTCAGCTGTGGGTCTGGCTAAGCTCAAGTGCTCAGGGACTTGTGTAGGTTGAGAGAGTAACTTGGTTTTATATTTGGAAGACAAAAATAGAACATGGTAGAAAGCAAAGCATTCGGAGTGTCTGGGCCTGTGATGATGATGCAGTTCCTCCCCAAGACTCATCCTGAGATGATGGAGTGATGTCCAGGTATCCAGAGGGGACATGGCTGGGGATGGGTACAGCTCAGTGGTACAGCCTGTGCAAGGTCCTGGGTTCAATTCCCAGCAAAAAAGAAAACAAAGGGTGTATGTATGTGGGGGGGGTATAGCTTTTAAAAGACTAGGGGCCAGGGATTTAGCTCAGTGGTTCTACCGCCTGCCTTGCAAGCGCAAGGACCTGAGTTCGATCCCCAGTGCCAAAAAAAAAAAAAAAAAACTAAATGAAAATCATAACCATTACCGAGATACTTTCTGATAGGAACTTTTTATATTTCTATTTTCACCTGTAAGTGGTGAGGGAACTAAACGATGGTATGCACTGCACACAGTGAATTTCTGGCCCTGGAGAAGGTGCAGTAGGTTAGTGGAAGAAAATGAGGCTGCAGTTGGGTAGCATGGGTTCAAATCCGAGCCCTGTCCTGTCTAGCTGTGAGCCTGGAGAGTTAATTCACTTCCCTTCTGAGACATTTCTTATCTCATAAGATGAAGATGTCACCTGTCCACAATAACTGCTACTGCCCACTCTCTCTGCAGCTGCACTTGCTCTGGCCCTGGGAGACAACATGCAGAGTGTGGAAGGGAAATGGACAAAGCTCTGCTTCCTGGGAAGCCCCAGACTCATGGCGCAGGAAGTTCACATTAGGCTGGACCCAGTCTGAGAGGCCTGCCGCATTCACCCACTGCCACCACCACCAATTTCCCGCCTTAAAGAAGGGTCACCAGCCATGGTTCAGCAGCCTAAAGGGGCTGTCACTCTACAGAGAACAGTCATTCAGGTTTTATTTATGACAGCTTCTTAGAACACACACATTCAATCTGGGAACAGAAATGTACAGCAAGAGCCTTAAATAACTTTCATACACTATGTACAGTCATCAGTAGAGGTACAAAACTTATATACACCTTGTGCTAGCCACATCTCAGAGGGGCACATGAGCCTGAGCAGGGGTGATGGCTAGAAAAGAGCTGGTGGGCAGGCAGGGCCCCGTCCCTTCTGGGGTCTCCTCTGACCGTCTGCTCTTCATCAAGTAGTCTCTACTCCCTACATCTTGGCAAGGGCCTTGGGAAACACATCTGAAGTCCTGAACCGGGGTGTGGTAGGGGCGGGGGCTCATCTGAGTGCTGGAGGTAGAGGAGGGTGGGCATAGAGGACAGAACACAGATGCCAGGGAGAAACAACTTTCCCTGCAGATTATGCTCTCCAGGGCATGAAGATCCGGGAGCTGGGGAGGGAGGGCAGGCTCAGGAGGGCTGTAGGGGCACTGGCCATCAAGCAGGAGGAGTCTGTGCCCAGCAAAGAAAGCAGTGAGCAATTTCCTGTTTGAGATGGCAAAGGGGCAATGCCACAAGTTGGGGCTTTGCAATGGAAAGGAATCCACTGCTCCTGCCAGGCAGGCCCTGCCCACAAACATACCAGGCCCGGGCAGGGTCTGAACAACCAGGGGGTGTGCCTGTGCCCCGCCCAGACTCCAGTGGCGGTGGCCTCTAAGAGTTGAGAGAAGGCAGGGCAAAGGGACATTATGTCTCCTGGCTTCACAGCAGCTGCCCAGTCTCCACCACGTTAGGCGGCACATGAAAGTCCAGGCGACGTAGTATCTTCACCGCAGTGGTTTTGTGCTTTAAACTGCCCTGTGGCCAAGCCACATAGCCCTAGGCGGGCAGAAGGGCTGGACGAGGGAAGGCAAGGAGCATTTCCAAGGCCTCAGCTGGGCCGAGGGTGGGTGGGAGGCCACTCCCATCTCCACAGCTGCCTGCCTAGTGGTGGCAACCTGACCGCCTCAAGGCTTGGCTGTGCGCCTTTGTCTCTTCCCTCCCCTCCCCCTCAGCACTCTCCAAGGGTGGCTCCAGGTGTGGCCTCAGAGGATTCCGGCTGCCCTGGAGGAGTCAAGTCACTGGATTGAAAGCAAACACTGAACTGGCTAATACTGAGAAGGAAGCCCTAGGGTAGGACTGTGCTGAGAAGCCCAAGGGCAGTGGAAGCCAGTCAGCTTCTAAAGCAGCGTCAGGGCCTGGCTCAGGAGACAGTCTGAGTCCACACTCTCCAGGCTCGGGGGCTGGCATCAATCAGCCTGCGTTCAGGCACTGAAAGACTGGGGAGCGTGCTCTAGGGTGTGCTCTGCTCCAGGGGCCCATGGCATACAGTCGTGACCTGGGCCTCAAGTCTCAGGATGGGGACACAATGTAACACGAAGAGCCCCCGAATTCGGCCCAGACTTGTTCTGCGCAAGGGTAGCTGCCTACCCCCAAACATGGCAGCCTTGTCTAACTTGGGACCTGGCCAACCTTTGAGGAGCCTCCTGGGTCCCACTCTGCCCATGTTGCCTGCTGAGAGCCCTGCCATTGTGCTCAGATCACAGCTGGTTTGTGCTTCTAACACGCAGGATGCTTGTGCGAGAAGTGGAGCTGGGGCCTGCCCTAACCTTTGTACCTTGGATGTTCCCGAAGGAGGGGGCAGAGACCCCAGTGCTCGTGCCACACAGCTTAGAGCAGCTCGAGATGACAGGCTCAGGGATCCGCGAGAACTTCAAGTTTCAAGTCAATGATACTCGCCGGGACAGGGGAGCCGGCCCTCCCGTGAGGTAGTGACCCATCAGAGACAGCAGACCGTGGGCAGACCGTGGGCAGACCGTGGGCAACGACGGTGAGCACCTCTAAGACCACACTTTGTGCAAGAACAGGCCTTGGAGCTACAGTAGAGTCACCCCAGGCGGGGGGCACGCCCAGCCCATGGGGTGGGGTGACACAAGTCTCATGTGTTTCTGTAGTTTGTAAACAGTCATGCAGATGGGGTCATTCTTACAGGGTGCAAGGAAAAAGCTTTCCGTTCAGGTGAGGAGGGCTGGATGAGTCGGGAAAGGAGCCTGGTGGTCACCCGTGCACTAAGGGAGTTGCCCAGCAACCCGTGGGTGGGCAGAGAAAGAAGGTTTTGCAGTCAGCTCACACAGACCATCCCGGAATGTTCCAGAAGACCAGCATTCAAGGTGGGTGGTCCCAACATTGGCTCACCAGACCTCACGTCACCACCAGCAGGGGCCATACACAGGCAGGACGGCCTCTTCAGCCTCCAAGGTAGCTCCAAGGAGGGAACGGGCCCCACACAGCCTTCTCTGGGGCCTGACCTTCCCATGCCAGGAGAGGCTCCCAGGGCCCGGGCCACACACAGAGGAGCTGAGGGCAGAGACAATGCCACTGCCGGAAAGTCTGAAAGTCACCATGTCCTCTGAACACAGTGGGGATTCCTGGCTTCCAGACTGAAGCTGAGAAGCACAAGACCAGTGTGGAAAAACAGTGTGGACAGGCTTGGGGGTAAGCCTGGGGTGAGGGATGGAGGGGCCCCTCCCGAGACCCATTCCTGTAAATTCAGAGTTGTTCCAACAGGGGGAGCCCGAACACTAATTCAGCCCCATGCTTGGAGCTGTGATGCCATAGCCCTAGGGAAAGGAGGGTCCATGAACTGACAACTGCCTCCTCACCACTACTCTAAAGGGAAGGGCTGCGCACTATGCACTATGCTGGGTTTAAGGCTTGAAAATGTATCTCCCGAATAACCATGAGAAAAAAGCTGAAGAGATTCCCTATCCCAGTTGAGGATGAAAACATGGCTGACCCAAGCTGCTGCCGAGCAGACAGTCCACCAAGCTGCTTTCTACGTGACCACTAGACTCTGGGGAATGGGGCTCCCTGGCACTGGGCTGTGGGGAGCTCCCCCATCTTCCAGGGGCAGAGGGCATGAGACCCCATGAGAAGACACAGGTGGCACCGCAGGCATAGCTGGTGTAAGGCTGCCCAGCAGGGGCCAGGCCTGGGCTGAGGAAGGCACTGAAGCAGTAGGCAGCCTTCTTGGCCGGGGTGCACTAGAAGGGTCCCCGGGGGGAGAGTCAGGGCTAGGCTGGAGCTGCAAAGTGTGGAAGGGGGTATTTCCCTCCTCTGCAGAGCAAAGCAGACAGAGGAGGTGGTCCCCAAGTACCACGGGGGCAGACCCCCTAAGAGCTGAGGGACAGAATCTGTGGGAAGAAACTTCAAGTCAGTTTCCAGGAGGCAACAGGAAAAAATAAAAATAATAAATAACTGAAGAATTCCTGACCATCTCGCCAAGGGGGTCTTTCTAGTAGCTCCTGCATGGCCCCATCAGAAAGGGCTGCCCAGCAATGGCTGGGACCCATTGGAATTAGCTGTTGGTGGACACAGGGCTTGGGGTCAGCTGCCTACACCTGGTCTCCATGGTTACCTGAGGACTACCTTGTTGGGTCAGAGGCAGGGGCAATGGCTCCAGAAGTTGGGGTGGAGATACGGGGGAGGCCAGCTCATCAGAGGGGCACCATGGAGCTGGGGCTACTTTAGCTTCCTATGGGTCCCAGCCTGGGACAATAGTGAGGAGGACAGGGCAGCTGGCTCAGCAGAAACACCGTGGCCAGCTGCGGGGGAGGCCAGGGAGTGGCTGGGGAGAGAGAAGAGGGGATCAGGCCTTTGGCTTCACAGCTTAACTCCTCCCCGACCTCTCTCTCACCAGGAGGCTCCCAAGAGGCAGGGAGGGGCAGGGAGGGCAGTACACTGTAGGAAGTCCGAGGAGAGGGGGCGGAGCAGGAGAGGGGCCACACCCTCTGCCCCCGTGCAGCTGCCCATCCGATGGCCACAGGTTCCGTTCCATGCCGTGCAGGCTGCCGGGCCGGAGGGTCCGGGACCCCTCTGACCTAACTCCGAGGGTGGGCCTCCGGTAACCGCCGTGCGCTCCAAAACTTCACCGTCAGGTCACTGGCAGGGAGGACAGAGAGGGAGCTGGTCAGCTCTCACAGTGGGCCCCGCTGGCTGCCCCTCAATGTAAAGGATAGGCTGATTCCCCCTTCCCACCTGCAGCAGGGGGTGAAGAGGCAGGCACTGCCTAGGGAGGGCAGACGAGGGTGGGGGGTGGGGGTGGGGAAGCGCGCTGGGCAGGGGTACCCAGTGGGGTCCTTCTCCTGGGCTTTCCTTTCGCTGTTTTATTTTTTTCTCCAGGCCTGAATGCTCCCCTCCCTCTGCTTCCTGCTACTGGCGCCCCTCTCCACTGTCCATGCTTGGAAGAGGGCAGGTAGGGCAATCTCTCTGGGCCAGGCAGGACATGAAGGGAGAGTAGGAAGAAAGAGTAAAATAATCTCATACCGTCAAGAAGCAGCTCAGATCGAAGTGGGGAAAGATAGGGAAAAGGAAAGGGGGGAAGAACGAGAGAGGAGATGGGGAACAGTGGGGCGGGTCAGGGCAGGGTGGTGGCGCGGCCCTTTATGGCCAGGACTCGGCGAGGAAGGCAGGGGGTGAGTCCAGGGACGTAATTCCACACCTTTACCCGGCAGTCACTGTGGGGGAAAGAGGCGGAGAGGCGGAGAGGAGAGGAGGCGGACACGGGGCGGGAGAGGGGAGGAAGGACGTGGTCGGAACAAGAAGGGAAAAGGAGAAACCGTCTGAGTAGCACCCTTGGGACTGAGGGCCTGGGCGCTCCCCGCACGGGACCAGATCTGGGGCCCAGGAGCTGTGGCCTGTGGGTGGCAGGGCTGCTCTGGGGGCTGAGAGCTACCTGGACGGGGCGGGACAGGGTGGCGTGGAGACAGGAGGGCGAGTCCTGGCCTAGGGCCCAGCAGCTTCCTGCTCCCCTGTCTACCTCGGGGCCTGGCACACTGGGCAGGCACAGGAAGGAGGCCACCGCAGGGTCTGCTTCCTGAGCCTCCCGCTGTCCTGCCCACCCTAGGGAAAGGGCTGGGAGCAGAGGCAGCCTCTCCGCACGGCACCCACCTGGAGGCTGTGAAGATGTACTTGGAGTTGGTGCAGATGGCATTGATGGGGCTGTCGTGGCCCTTGATCTCCCCGAGGGGTGTGAAGTTGTCCACATTCCAGACCTTGATGACGCCCGCGCGGCAGGCGCTCAGCAGCATGGGGCGGCCCGGGACGAAGGCCAGGGCACACACCCAGTCCTTGTGTGCATTGGGGATTTGCTGCGGGAAGGAGGGACAGGGCTGGTAAGGGCTGGGGGATGCAATGAGAGGGAGGGGCCAGTCCTGGGGCCCCAAGAGCATACTCACTGGCGGTGGAAGGGCGCTACCAGGCTCCCCCAGCCTCCCCAGTGACCATGGAGACAGGCCTCCCCCACCGGCCCCAGGAGGCAGTCTGTGCTAGCCTATGCCGGGCTCTAGGGGTCCAGAGATAGGGCCTTCTCTCTGGGCCCCAGGTTCAAACCTAAGACTCTGCCCCGGTGGAGAACCCTTCAGCCCTCAGACAGATCAGGCTAAAATGGAACTACTCTTGGGAAGGGCTGAGAGCAAAGCCTTTGCTGAGAGCAGGTGCCAGAGGGGACCTGAAGAAGCAGGGGAGGCTGCAGGGGGTAGGGGCGCACTTGGGAGGCTCTGGAATCCACCCGCCTGGGGCTCTGCCCTACCTGGACGAGCTCCTGCTGCTCCAGGTCCCATTTTTTGATGCCGTTGTCCCGGGAGCCACTGAACAGGATGTCTCCCTGGATGGCCAGGCACTCAATGCCATCGTAGTGCGGGGGCTCGAAGTTGTGGGTGGGACCGATGGTGCCTGTCACACACTCCCCCAGCTGGAACATCTGCAGGGGGGTGCAGAGGCCAGGCCTGGGCACTGCAGTACAAATACTCACCACAGTTCTGCCACCCAATTCCCTTCTTCTAGTTCCTAACCACACAGTTTCCGCCTGCACCACCAGGCAGCAAACTGAATTAGTGTTGTTTGTATACTTTGCCTCCTCCCCCTATTTCCTTTTTCTTTTTTTGTGGTACTTGGGATGGAACCCAGGGCTTTTCACCGCTGAGCTAAATCCTCAGCTTTTTGTTTATGTTTTATTTTGAGACAGGGTCTCACTAATTCACTAAATTGCCCAAGCTAGGCTTGAATTTGTGATCCTCCTGTCTCAGCTTTCCAGAAGTGCTAGGATTACAGGTATATGCCACCATGTCCAGCATTTCTCATTTTAATAGTTGACCTTCATCCTGTTTAGTGGATTTTCCACCTACCCTTCGACATTTAGGCTATTTCTAATTCTTCTCCATTTACAAAACAACGCTGCACTTTGTAGCTCTCTGCATGCACCCTCTTGCCTTTTTTGGGTGCTTTCTTCAGCAAAAATCATCAGAAGTCTAGTTATTTCCATGAGTCCTCCCAAGGCAACAGACAATAAAGGTGGAAGAGAGCAGAAGAAACGACCCTCAGCCAGGCTGCAGGGCAGAGAGGCCTCGGGTACCTTGACGTAGTGGTCCTTGGAGCCAGTCACCACAAGGTCATGCTGGTTGGCAGTCTGGGTGACCGTCAGGCACATCACGGGGCCAATGTGACCAGTCAGCTTGCCAACAGGCTGGAACCTGCAGTGGGGAGAAGGCCAGCCAGGGTGTGGGTTAGAGGAGACCCCGGGGGAAGGGAGCATCTGTCCTGGAACAAATGGGCCTGGCCAGAGTCCTCTCTCCCCGAAGGTAAGATCAAGAACCTAGACTCCAGCTTCCCAGAATCCCAGGGGTCTCAGAGGAGGCATGAAGGACTGAGGCAGCTGAGGTCCTGCCCACTCTGGGGTGGGTCGTCCCACTCTGAGATCTGGGGACCCCCGGGCACCTGTCTCTGAAGACAGCCCACTGACCTGCTCAGCTCCCAGATGCGGACGGCATTGCCTGCGGCAACGTACAGCATGGTACCCGAAGGGCTGAGGGCCATCTGGTTGATCTGGTGCTCGCCCTGGGCACTGGTGATGGCACGTGTGGATGTGGCAGCACAAGCGTCGCCTGAGATCACCTGGCCCGAGGACCTGCCCAGGGAAAGAGAGGCAAACAGAGGTGAAACTTGTCAGACCACTCAGACCAGCCCAGATGAGCCACCTGCAGGAAGCCTTCCCTGACTGACAGAGGACCAAGGGACCAAAAGGAAGGTGCCATTCTGCTCCCAGCAAGATGTGTCCCTGCGTGCCCTGCAGGGGTCCTGAGCAGGCATGGAAAGACTAAGAGCAGGGCAGGAGCCTGCATCTTGTGAAATCACTTAACCTGTCTTAGACTCCTCTTCTATAAAAAGAGGCAATAATGCCCATTTTTCCTTTAAGCACAGTTTTGGCTTTACCGAAAAACTGAGTGGAAGATACAGGCACTTCCGTGTACTCCTTCCTCCTAACATGCACAGCCTCGCCCACTGTCGAATTCACACACCACAGTGGCACATTTGTGGAACCGACACGGACACACTGACATCTCCCAAGTCTGTCACTGACACCGGGGCTTGCTTTTGGTGCTGTACATTCCATGGGTTCAGACAAATGTACAATGCCACTATCTGCCAATATAGCATCAGAGAGCATAAAATACTGCACTAAAATATCCTGTGTCTACTTCTTAAGGATCAAATTAAATAAATTTACCAAGTCCATATAAAGATCAAACATGACTTTTGCAGAGGGTCTTGCTCACCCTGCTTCCTGGTGCCTCTTTCAGGCTCCTGGGGTGATACCCAGCACATCTCAAAGAACAGGAATGGGGGCACTGGGACAAGGGTGGGGGTCAGAGGGGCCACAGGCTCACCAGTCTGCTGCCCCAGATACTGTCCCCTAAACCAAGGGGTGTTGAACCATGGCCAGGCTGGACTCTGCTTAGAGGATCACGTGGGCTGGGAAGTGTTGCCCCCAAATCAGCCTGTTACAGCCCACCAAGGGGCAGGCCAAGGGAGCGGGGCTCTTACGTGAGGGTCCGAATGCACTTGGCCGAGTCCCGGATGTCCCACACCTTGATGTAGGAGGTGGACACGGAGAACACAAGCCCCGAGTGGGTGCAGTACTTGATGGAGACCACATTGTTGGGGTGGCCCTTGAGAGCTGCGATCTCCTGGCCCGTGACCAAGTTCCACATCTTACAGCTGCGGTCTGTGGGAGACGAGGAGGGGAGTGACTCAGCCTGAGGGGGCAGGCAGCACGCCCTACGGGCTGTCCGGCTGAGCAGGGAGTGACAGGAGTGCTAGAGTCGGAGGATCAAGTCTGAGGGAAAGAAAACCATGCCCAGGAGTCCTCCTAACAAACTCGGGGAAAGGTAAGTCACTGAGAGCTTTAGATCAGGGTGAGTTATGTGAGCATTGTCAAGGTGTCCTGAGCTAAAATAAAACTCCTAAGCCTTTGGCACCTGTTCCTACAAACGCTAATACTGATGAACTGAACAAGCAGATCTTACGGGAAACCTCAGAATCAGTCAATTACACGTTGATTGACAGCTACCTCTCCTCCTGCTGGGAAGACCGACAAATGCTTATGTTTCTATTACCTGTGTCTACTACAGATTTGTTCTTTTCTGCTGGTCAAATTTCTATTTCTTCTTTTTCTTTCTTTTTTTTTGTGTATAGAGAGATGCTGAGGATTGAACACTGGGGCTCGCTAACATTGAGCTACATTCCTAAGATCCTCCCATTCTTTATTTTTAATTTTGAGACAGAGTCTTGCTACACTGACCAGAACTTGAACTTACAGTTCTCCTGCATCAGCCTCCCTCGGTGTCGGGATTCTGCTGGTCACATTTCTGACTGTACTGCTGTGACTTAGCAGAGGACTCCGTGGGGCTGTGCTGTCAACCTGCATAGCTGAAGGTGCTGGGTGGTGTCACTGGGCAGTAGTGTCGGAGGACTGAGATGAGCAGAGGCAGGATGGCCCGAGAACTTTCTAGACAGGCCTGGCAGGAAGTGCTGGGTGGAGCCAGCCAGGCAGGTATGAGAACGCTGGGCCAGGCTGTGTGGGGTAGGAATCATGAGCCATGGCAAGAGATGAGACCCCCTGAGCCACAACTCCTGGGGCTCTGTGTTCTGCCTCCATCACAGCCTACTCTGGCAAGGGAAGGCCGGGGTGGGGGAGACCCTAAGCCTACCTGGCCTCTTGGGGGGCTCCACGCACCTTTGGACCCTGTGAAAAGCAACTCGTCCGTGGCATCCAGGCAAAGGATGGGCTTGGTGTGGCCCTCGGCCATGGAGACACACTGCAGTGGGGCTGTGCGCGCACCCTTCGCTCCTCCAACTGGGGTGATGATGCCCCTTCCCAGGAGAGAGGGAGAGAGTAAGCTGTCAGCCAGGCTTAGGGAGGAGCATGGGAGGGGGTGGGGCAGAGAGGGATGAAGGCCTCACGCCGGAGACCCCAGGACCTCTGGCCGAAGTCCGCTGAGGCCTAAGGGTAGGAAATGCTGTGCAGGGCAAGGACAGCCTGTCTTTCTGTTGTTGTACTGGTGATCAAACCCAGGGACTTTATCTGAGCTACATCCCCAGCCCTTTCTTATATTGAGACAATGTCTCACCAAGTCAGTTAAATTGCTCGGTCTGGGCTCAAATTTGGGGTCCTCCTGCCTCAGCCTTTCAGAGCACTAGGATTACAGGTGTGTGCCACCGCACCTGGCTGAGGGACTGCGTTCACAGAAATCTGTAGTCACTATCTATCTATCTATTTATTTATTTTTCCAGTACCGGGGATCAAACTCAGGACCTTGTGCTTGTGTTTGCAAGCCAGGCGTACTGCACTGAGCTAAATCCCCAGCCCCGTAGTCACTGTCTTGAAGAGTTATGGGGAACAAGCCCCATGCAAGGCACAGCTGGAAGGAGGAGCAGGCATAGGCCTTGCACAGGAAGAGCTCCTATCTGATGCCGCCCGATCCAGAAACCTGAGACATACATGCAGCCAGGCCCAGGGGCAGGGCACAGGCACAAGGGCTGGAATCAGCCCCTGCAGCTCCCGTCAGCATCTGCATGCTGTTTCTCTCAGCAAGTATGAGGGGGCGGGGAGGAAGGGCGTTCACAGACACCCTGACCACCTCACGACTGCCTCTGGGGCTGCATTTCCCAAGTGTGAGACCTGTGCACGCATGCACGCGTGCACACACACACACCCACCCACACACCCCTACCATAGGCCCCTGCTTGACCAGCACAGTCAGACCCATGTCTGCCGTTTACAAAGGGACAAATCCCTTTCGGAGCCCCTGCTTAGCCTGGGGTTGGGAAGCTGGGGGCCTCTGGAATGAGACTCTCTGGTACCAGAATGGCTCCCCCTTGTTCCCCACAACTCTGGGAGAGGATGAGGATGAGCCAAGTGAGGGTGAGGACTCCGCCATGCCTGTTTCCTGAAGGTTCTGAGGATCTGTTTTTCTCAGTGAGGGCCTTTTGGAATGACAGCTTGTCTGGATTATGTCTGAAAATCTAGCTTTTTCAAAGGCAATGTTGTCCTTGATAGCGACACTAGGGCCAAAAGTTTAGACATGACCAGTGTCCCATTACAGGGCTTTCACAAAGGGCCTGTGGACTTGGCTGGGCCACCTGCCGGCAGCCGGGTACATGCACAACAGCTCCCCAAGCTGGCCCTGCTCCCCACTGGTTTCAGCCACCAGCCTGAGACTGCTGGGAGGACGTGTGGGCAAGAGCACACTCCCTCCCATGGGCACGGCCGGCACGTGGTGGCTAATGTTCCTGGTGCCAAAGCCTCACTGCACAGGGGGATAAACAAGCACTGACCCGGGCTGGAGCACAGAGCAGAGCAGCACTGCGGGGCTGGCAAGTGCTCAGCCCACAGATGGCCCTTCCTGCTTGGGCACTCGGGCCCTGCAGGTTCTGCTGGTCCGGCTACGGAGGGTTGCGCTAGGCTGGCTGGGGACACTGGCCTCTGCTCCCACAGGCTGGGCGGGGAGGGGGTGCCGCATATCCCTGTGACAAGAGATGCGGGCAGGAGGTGCTGCCCCCTGGGTGGTCACTGCAGGGCCAGGATCTGAAGGGCTCACCCCATGGGCACAAGCTAAGTCACAAGGACCCTGAGGAGTCACCAAATGACCCTACACCTCTCCAGGGAACAGCCGTCCAGCTGCTCCCCGTGGCACCCAGGACTTTCTCCTGCCCTGGCACTCAGCGTTGCTCAGCTCCAGCCCCAGCCAACCCAGGCTTCCACTCTCCGCTCCTCCCTGCCCAGGCCAGGAGGGAGAGGAGAACAGGGCCAGCCACAAGCAACTTCGCCCCCGCCCCAAGCCCCCAGCTCCAGCCAGGCCTGGTGTAGTCAGAGGCCATGAGGCCGGCCGCCTCGAGCAGGAGGAACCATGGGCAGGAAGAAGTGTCAGGAGGGGCACGAGGGAAGGGAGGCAGGGGCCGGGAGAGGAGGGGCCGCATGCTGAGGACAGGCGGACAGGCAGGGAGGGCCGGTGCAGTGGGAGGCAGAGAAGGAGAGAAGAGAGAGCAAGAGGAAGACCAAACACGAGAGACATTCTGTGTGTACCTCAGGACCTCCGACAAAGAGGAGTCGCTGTCATCAGACCTGGGGAGGGCAGAAAATTAGCTGGATTAGGGGAGAGAGGAAAACACACAGGGGTGGCAGAGGTGGCGGTGGCAGCAGCAGCGGCAGGGAGGTCAGAGGGCGGTTATTCTTGTGGAGGAGCGGAAAGAGGCAGGGAGGAGCGCCTTCGGGGAGAGCAGGGAAGGAGGTGGGGACAGGCTGGTCTGGGGGCTGGGAGACTCCCAGGAGCGAGCCTCGGGGGCCCCTCAGCTAGCAGGCTGGGAGCAAGGAGGGTCACAGGAGACGGGGGAGGCCAGCCCTACACCGGGGGACATGGTTCCGCGCTCTTGCTGGTTCCGACCTCTCCCGCAGCCCCACCCCAGTAGTGCTACTACCTGCCTGAGACCAAGAAAGCCACAGCTGCTTCTACCCTTCCCTCGGAGCTGGCTCCTCCCAGTAATTCCTCAGGGCCCATGGTTTCCAAAGCTCACTGTCCCCAAAGAGCCCCCTGGGACCATGCCTAGAAGCCAGCTTTGTATCACACGGGTCCCAAGATCCAGGCCACTGGATAGGACTAAGGAGATCACCAGGCTGGGATTCCAATCCTTGCAAAAAAGGGAGCTGAAAGGGCACAGGTGAGAAGAACATCCTGATGAGAGGGCCGGGCCCTGTCCTGTGTCCAGGGTACTGGGACTGGCCCCAGGCTCAGCATTCAGGGAGCAATTGCTGACCCAGGAGGGGGCACTTCTGTGGGGAGGTGGGCAAGGCATACACCAGGCACCAGGTAAAGGGCAAGGACTCAGCACTGTTGTCCTTTCCAGTATGGGAGATTTTAGGAAGCCACGGAGGGCCAGGGTTGGCCCAGCAGTTTAGGGGAGCCCAGAAAGGAACACAGGGAGGATGGGGTCCCCCCTTCCCCCAGGCAGAGTCCCATTGTTTGGGACACAGGGATGGTGGGAGGGACTCTGGGCTCTACTCAGCTACTTTCTAGGTGAAAGTTCTTGGGCCTCCTCTTTGGACCTCAGTCCCGAGTGTGAAACAGGGAAGACAATGCTCAAGGCTGATTTTCAGTTCAAATGAATCATGAACGGGGGAGCAGGTGGCAAAGCCAAGTGAAAGTGCCTTTTAAATGCAGGGACTGCTGTTAACAGAAATTGCAATTTGCAATTACAGTTTGGTAACAGGAGCCTTGGGTACAGGTTAGACTGCCTGTCTACTGGACAATGCACAAGGAACCCAGGGTGTTGTTTGAAGTGTCTGTGGCTGGACAGGGCCGTGGCTGACACTGAAGGAAGGGGCTTCAGAGAGAAGCAAAGAATCAGCGGGGGCAGAGGACAAGGGCAGGTCTGGGAAGCCCTCCGTGGTGTCTGTCCACGCAGCCATCCCCTCCTGGCTGGCCATCGCCATCTCGGTGGCTTCCATCCTGCCCTCTCCTGAGGTCCCAGCATGCTGAGAGGAAGCGGAGGCCCACAGCCAGGACAGAGAGGACGGGGAGTGCCAGGGCCTTGTGTCTCGGCAGGGCTGGGGGCTGCCAGCCACTCCCATCCACCTCCAGCAGGCCTGCCCACCAGCTCCCTTCCCTCCCGGGGCCCGCTCCTGGCTGCCCCCAGACGTGCTCTTACTTGTCCAGCGCCGAGCCCTGGCTCTGATTACTGGTAAGGCGAGAGAAGACATTGCGGTCGTTCCGAGGCCGGGTGGGAGGGGATGATGGAGGTGTGAATCCCACGTCTGTGGACCTAGTGCGCAGAGACAGAGACATGTCTGAGTGACCACAGGCCTGCCCGCAGACCCACGCTGGTGCTGAGCAGGCACCTTCTGTCTCGGCCGTAAGAACATGAGGCCAGGCCCAGGGCACAGCATCTGGGCTCAGGCCGCAGCCCAGCTCCTGGACACTCTTCTTAAAATCCATCCTCATATTCACGGATTCAACATTTGGGAATTTATCTGCTCACTGGAATTCCTACAATCAACACTCCCGGTGCTTTTTCGGTATGATTCTTGGCCTTGTGTAGAAAAATTTGAGCCACTCTACACATATTTCTTGCCAAGGTTGTTTCAGCTCTGATACTGGAAACAAGTGTCCCATTCATGGACAATTTGGTACCATATTCGATTACATTTTTGTGCTTTTTGATGGTGGTTTTGATTCTTAAAATGTCCCCAAGCATAGTCCTGAAGTACAGCCAGGTTGGCAATGCAGCCTAGTAGCAGAGTGCTTGCCTCGCTTGCACAAGGCCCTGGGCTTGATCCCCAGCTTGATCCACATAAGTAAATGAATAAATAAAATTTGCTGGCAGCACCTCTGCAAGCCCAGCACTCTGGAAGGCTAGGACAGGAAGACGGCAGGTTTGACCCTTGCCTGGACAACTCAGTGTGATTTTGTTTTAAAATAAGAATTAAAAATGGGTAGAAGATATGGCTCAGTGCTAAGGTTCTCAGTTCAGTCAATAGCACTGCAAATAAATAAGCAAATCCTCCCAGATCCCATTCTTCCTCATTTTTGGGGGGGGCGGTACTGGGGATCAAACTCGGGACCTTATGCTTGCAAGGCAGGCGGCAGAACCACTGAGCTAAATCCCTGGCTCCCCAGTATTTATATATATATATGTATATATATATATATACATTTTTTTTTTTTTTTTGGTACTGGGGATCAAACTTGGGACCTTGTGCTTTCAAGGCAGACACCAAACCACTGAACTAAATCCCCGGCCCCCAGATCCCATTCTTTGAAAGCTGTCATTAGGTTCAGCCAAATCCTCCCTCCCTTTCGAGAGTCATCCTGGGGTCGACCCAAATCTTCAGGCTGCAACTTAAGTTATGTTCTCTCAGTTCACAGGCAAAGCAACAGGCTGAAGTGCCACGTATACAGATGTCCTTTCACCTCCTCCCTACCAAGGCCACTTTGCGAGCCAAGGTCATGGGTGTCCGCCCAGGCTCCAGAGAGGAAGGAAGGCTGGGAGCTGGAGCTGCCTCCCTCCAGGGCAGAGAGCAAGAGGTCAAACTGAGCTCTGCTTCCCCAGTTTAGCTGTGTGACCTGGGGCGGGCCACTCAACCCCTGAGAATGAAGTGCATGACCAGAGGGCCCTCACAGTCACCCTGCCATGTGCAGAAGCTCCTCAGGACCTGGTCCATGTGTGCCTGACCGCTGGACACTGTGCTGTTCTGCCCTGACTGCTCTGGTTCTTTGAGTTTCTATTTTCCTTTCAAAACATGAGGCCTTAAAGGGAGTGGAAGCTCCCAAGGACGCATGGTCATGAAAAGGGGCTGAAGCATATCAGAACAATGGCCAATGAAGCTACTACAAAGCAGTCTACGCTGAATGTGCATCAGCATACGGTTTTTGGCATGTGGCTTGGCTACTGGTTTCAGGTGCCTAACAGAGATCGTCTACCCTGAGCCCACCCCTGATAGGGTGAGGAAGGGACCATGGGCGAAGCTGAGTGACTCAGACCAGCTGGCCCTCACTAGAAAGCGTACATAATGAACTACAGAGCAGAACTTCACTGCCACACACTCATCCAAGGACTAGACCAGCACTGACTTCAGAAGATTCTGGAACGTGCTCTCACCTGATGGGCTGCCCTCGGTCATATGACTTCCTCCGGGTCAGAGGGGATGTCTCTGAGCCTCGAGACTGCCGGGGGCTGGAACACAAGGGTCCAGTGAGGCCCAAACCCTACTCCCTGACCTTTCCTCCCAACCCTGTGGTCCTGCTCCCCTCCTTACAAAGTGCTGCCCCGGGTGGGCAGGCTGATGGTGCGAGAGACCTTGTCCCGGTAGTAAGGATCTCGTATGGAGAAGCCCACTCCATCTTCTTTGATCTCCACGAGGGAGGCCAGGGACTTGGTGATGTTCTTGGTGGAGACGTCCAGTGGGGGTCCCAGGCACTCAGCTGACACAGCCTTCATTTGGGCAGACAGTTTGGGCTCCCCCTGAGGACAGAAGGATGGATGGACCAACTTGCCCAAAGGGGATGGCACATACTGAGAAGCCAGGAATCCTAAGGAAGGAAATAGTGCCTCTTGGCCTAAGGAAGAGGAACCCCTTGGAAGCATCCAGCAGCCATGATCCAGAGACTGTGCTGCAAATCCACAGAAACTGAGCCTGTTTTACTGCCCTCAGTTGGACTATGCGAAACAGAATCCCCACATGGACCTCTTCACTGGTTACCAGCTAATCAGTTTACCCAAAAGTATGCATAATTCAGTGCTCTCAGTCTGCAGTTCTCCCCTCCTCTTTTCAACAACTCTTCAGTCTTGGTTCAGTCTAAACCGATCCCTTGCTGTCAAGTAAACTTCCTTATTGTTGACTCCCATACTGTTGGATCAACTATCTGTAGGAAAAATAACTAGGTACAGAGTTAGGTTTTGACTTGGGGCAAGAGGCAGAGTCTTGGGTGATCAGGAGAAATTTTTGAAAGTGGGGCATTTGGATATGGTGATGTCACTAGGAAGCAGAGCCCAGGGGTGGCTTCTATCTCAAAAGAACGAGCTGTACCCGGTTACACATCTGGATACCCCTGCAACTCCAGGTTAGATCCATTTTGGCACCTCCACCCCAGCTACAGCAATGTCAGGCCTGAGGTTGGGGTCAGAGTATAGTAAGGCTGTGGGAGGCTGGCCAAGACCTCCCTTGGAGCTCACCTTGAACTTGAAGTCATCGTGGCTGGTGGAGCCTTTCATGGTGAATGACTGGGAGAAGCTGAGGAAGAAACAGAGAGACTTTAGGATCCCAATAGCTTAGCCTCTGGTTCTCTGGGTCTTCAGACTTGTGAGTCCCAAAGGGCCCCCAAATCCAGGCCTGGCCCAGGGACCTTATGGCAGCCCAAGTCCCCCAGTCCCTGACTCCCAGCTGGGACTCACCTGCCCTCAGAGAACTCCGAGACCTCCTCATCAGTGCTGGCATAGCCATTCTCTGGGAGGAAGGAAGGGAGAAGGCTTGAGAGACCCCACGGAGTGTGGGGAAGAAGCAATGGGCTCCCTCCCGCATCTGGCCACTGGGATCAGACTTGCACTTCTGGGGGCTTCTGGAGAGGCGAGCACCGCTCCACCTAAGGTCAGAAACAAGGAGCCCTGGGAGGCCTGAGCCTTTCGCCACAGCTACACGTACCCTGCTGCACATTGTAGATGAGGGCCTGCAGCTCGGGGTGCGCCTCCGCTTTCTCCCGCAGGGCATCCAGGAGCAGGTGGTTCTGGGAGGAGCCCGCCATGTCTGTCTGCCTCAGTCGTCCCTCCAGTAGCCGGATCTGGGCCTCCTTCTGGGCTACCTGCAGCCCCTGAGGCAGGGAGCAAGGACTGGGGTTAGCCTTCCTGGCCTTGGGGGGACTCCCATTCTCTGTAGCCCCCATATTAGCTCTGCATTAGTGGAGGTCACCTCAGTGTTATGGACACCCTGTTTTTGTATCCCCCCAAATTCTTATGTGGAAGTCCTAATCCCCCTGTTGCTGCAGAATGTGTTATTTGGAGACAAGGGCTTTAAAGAGTTAACTAGGGTACTATGGGTACCATGAGATCATACGGCTGGGCCCTAATCTAATATGACCAGTGTCCTTACAAGAAGAGATTAGGATGCACAGAAGAGATTAGGCCCACAGAGGGAAGCCGTGTGAAAACAGGACACAGCAGCCACCTACAGCCACGGAGGGAGGCGTCAGAAGAAACCACCCCCGCCAACACCTTGACCTTGTACTTCCCAGCCTCCAGACAAGAAACGCCTCTTGCTTTGGCTGTCTGGGCACCGTGTTCTGGCACACTGATACAGTGCCCTAGGACACGGGGCAGAGCTGACAGGGGTCACGGAGGACAGGGTGAGGAGGCATGGAGAGCAGTCTCACTGGGTGCATCTGTCCCCAAGATGCAGGCCCAGGGCAGGAAGCACATCCTCCAGCCAGGAGCAGACGGTCACCTTTAACTGAGGCCCTGGCGTGTGCCAAGTCCTGTGCCAAGCCCCTTACATGCATCATCTTGTTGAAGCCCTGCAACCAGCGACAAGCTTCGTACTGTCCATCACCCCAGTTTTATAGCTACGGAATCCAGTGCTCAGAGGTTAGCAGCTTGCCCCAGCCTGTGAGTGACGCAGGTGAGGAGGAGCCAGGCCCCAGCGCTCCTCCAGGAGGCGCAGGCCAGCTGCCCACACACCTTGTCGATGGATGCCTTGAGGAAGTTGTCCAGCAGGAGGCGGGCTTCGGCCAGGGAGCAGGAGCTGATGACCACCGACGTGTCTGTGGAGTCCAGCTCCTCCTGCGAGTGGGAGGCAGGGAACTCTGTCACCTGGGCCGCCCACCCCTCACTGCTCCCACCTCGGTTCCGTCCAGGCCCAGTCATGCGGGCACCTTGGTCTCCTCCAGCTGCACAATGGTGGCCTGGCAGTCAGTGATGCTGTCATTGATGTAGTCGATGTTGGCCGTCAGCACCTCCATCTCCTCTGCCAGCTCCTGCAGCCCCTTCTCTTCCTCTGGGCTCTCAGCCTGCAGCTGCTCACGCTTCCTCCTCAGCGCCTCCTGCAGGAGGAACAGCTCCTCCCTTTTCTGGAGGGACAGTGATGGAGGAGAGACCTCAGGGGGCTTCCTGGCCTGACCCACCGAGGCTGCCTGCTCAGGGTCCCCCAGAACAAGAGGGGACAGGAGAGGCTTGAGAAGTCAGAGGTGACAGAGGACAGGTGGCGAGAGGGACAGGAGAGCGGGGGAGGCGCCTGCCTTGATGAGCCGCTCCATGTCGGCCTCCAGGTTGACGATGGTCATCCTCTGCATGACGATGTCGACGATCCTCCTCTCCAGGGACTGCCACTTGAGCCGTGCCGCCTTGCTGAAGCTCTGGCTGGCCCCCTTCTTCTGGAACTTCCTTCTGGAAGGGAGAGGCAAAGGTGGCTGGGCGTGATGTGACCGCTCTTAGCCTCTGCAGCTGCCCTGAGTCCCCACCTAGAGCTGACAGCCCCAGGGACCCCAGCGCTTCCCGAGCTTCGCTCTCCCTCACCCTGGTCCTGCCCACCATGCTTCCATCCTCTGCCCACACGGGCCAGGGCAGCATCGGCCCACCTCACCTGGCCGGGCGGGTGCCATTGACTGTGTTGGCTGGGTGGTCCCCCAGGAAGTGGTTGATTTTGCGGTTCCACTGGCGCACAATGCTGGAGACGGAGCGGGCCCCTGACTCGGCCTCAGACGAGGTGGTGCTGGCCGACACCTCAGCCCCCGAATCCAGCATAGGCGGCTTCAGTCCTGCACGCCCTGCCACCCGCTCAGACATGGGCTTGGCCAGGCGCCTCAGTGCAGACACCTGAGGAAGAGGGACAGGTGGGCAGGGCAGCCTGAGGCTGCACAGCAAGCCCCAGCTTGGGAGCCCCAGACAGAGAACGGGGGCCGCTCTGTGCGGGCCTACACTTGGGGTGTAGAAGGGCCAACAGGTCCCGGTCTGAGTGGAGTAGAACACAAAAGAGAGTGCCACTTTTTATTCTTTTCTAAGTGATCAGCTCAGACATTTGTGAACAGTCTGCAGTCTGCCCCCTTGCTCTCCTGCTGAGAAAGGCCCATGTCACAGACCTGACACACTTCGGCCATGACTGCTGAATGGCAGAAGGAATAGCTGCAGCCACAGGCAGGGTGGGCTCCCCCGCCTCCCGGCTGTGGCAGAACTGGGACATGCTGCCCTCATCCCGTGTCCAGGGAGCCGGGGCCCCTGAAGGAGAGCAATGAGAGCACCACACCCGTGCGTGTGTGCAGATGTGTGTGCCACAGGGGCAGGGGCCTGCGCACCACTCCCTAAGAGCACCTACCTCTTGGGTTTTCCTCCTCAGGACAATCTCTTGCTGCCGTTTCTGGGACTCCAGGGCCCGGATCTGAAACTGTGGGAAAGAGGAGAGTGGCACCCATCCTCAGGCACTGTGCCCTTTCGGCCCAGGATGGGCACAGGCTGGTCAGCTCTGCAGCCAGAAGCCTGGGTTTTCCCAGACAGGTGAATCTCGGGTGATCAAGCTGTTGATGGAACGGGTCTCAGAGCTGAGCTCCTTCCCCAGAGGTCGCAGTGTGGCCCCTACAAGGCCACTGACTTGGCCTCCTCTTCCATCACAGTGAGGACTTGGACTGGAGGGCTCAGCCTGTCCCACCTCCCTGCAGGGCCCGAGCCACACATTTCTGGGTTGCTGGTGACTCCAGGAAGGTGCCTGCCCTTCTCTGGGCCCCCAGGTCCTGCCCTTCCTACAGACCGCACCTTACTCCAAGCATGGCTGTTACCATTTAGGACAGCAGGGACCGGGGCCCACCTGGGCCTGCAGTTCCAGGGATCCTCCCAAGCCCCTCACCTCCTGTCGCCGCTGCTCCTTCTTGAGCTGAGCGATCTCTCGGTTCCTCTTGGTCTCCACCAGCCGACGCCGCTGCTGCTCCTCCCGCATCTGCTTCATCAGGGCCACCTGGACGGGAGAGGCAGCGGGGTAAGGCAGGGCTGGGAAACAGCGGCTCTCGTGCTCCAGGGGATGCCTGGCTCTGAGGATGCTGGGCAGACAATGGCCTGAACCTGCCAGGTAGCAGTGGCTCAGGGCTTGGGGCTTCGGAGTAAGGAGGAAGGGGTATACCCCCTCCCCTCCACAGGAGTTGAAGCTACCGGGCAGCTGCTGAAAGGAGTGGCCTTACAGCCAGCCATGTGGTTCAGGGGCTCCCACCCTACAGGGCCTGACCCTGGCCACCACCCAAAGCCTGGTCTGGCCATTCTAGGACAGGGTGGGTTGCTGGAGGCAGGTCACCCCTCTCCCACTGACAGCCCGAGCTGTGAACAGGGCCAAGGTAAAGGTCAGGGCTGGATTCCAGGGCTAGACTCATAGTGACAGCAATAAAAACCACCATTATTTATTGAGAACTGGCTACGTGCCAGGACAGTCCTCATGACAATCAGAGGAGAGAGGCATTATTGTTCCCGCTTAATAAACAAGGAAATGAGTCTTGGAAAGAGAAAATAAATCAGCCATAAATCTAGTGATGGATGGCCAGCCTTGGGGCCCAGGTCATGTCACCTCCCCATCCATCTCTTCCTACAGCCCAGGCATGGGCGGCACCATGACAGTTCACGGCAAACACAGACAGCCTGGATCCCAGAGTTCTCCAGGGTCTGGCCAAAGGCACACAGAGCACCTTTAGTGTGGCTGGAGACAACATGATGTGCTAGGAAGCCACTCTTCCACGGTCCTCCTACAGCACCTGCCTCCTACTCCTGGTGCCCCAAACACAGGAATACAAAGTACATGGCCCTTTTGACACTTCTCAAGCATAAGGGGGAGGAGAGTTAAAATGGGGGCTGGTTCTTCCTCTGCCACCAAGGCCAGAGACCTTACCAGGAATATCACCATCCTGCCTTGCTCTGTGGTCAGGAAAGAAAAAGTGTCCAGAGAAAGAAAACCAGGCAGCCTCCTAGGGAGCTGGTGGCCAGCAGGGTCAGATTCTACAGAGCTTAACTTACAGAGCAGGGGCAAGCTGGCTGCTGCTGGGCATCCGGGGTCCAGAGTGAATGTTCTTCCAAAGGCCTGGGGCTGGGAAGGCCAAAGGCAGGCCTGCAAACTCTAGCATCTGAGCTTCCTGGGATGGTGCTGTCTATGTCTCCCTGGCCAAAGGCCCGTCTTCCCAACTTGCATGTGTGGCCAAGCTCTTTGGAGACCACCACAGGCGTGATGGTCTCAGAGTGGGTGAGAACATGACCGTGCTGAAATGGAACCTGAGACCGGCACTGAGCCTTTTCCCCAGGAGACCCCGTACATGGTGGCAGGGCCCACCCAGATCAGTTCTGTGGATCACTGGGCCCCCTTGCTGAACAGCGGGAGGGATGATCCTCAGACAATGGCCTTCACAGTGTCTGGTTAGAATCCTTGGCTGCTGCTCTCTCTGTCCCTCCAGGGGAAAATTGGGGGCCCTGCTGGGGCATCCATAGGATGACCCTCAGCTGACTTCCAGCCCTGTTCTCACAAGAGCAGTCATGCGGATGGAGCTGGGCCCTGGCTGAAAGGCCTCAGCCATCCTGAGACTGACGTACACATATACATGGATCCCTCTGGCTTTCAAATATGTCCCGGGCAGTAGGCTCATTTGCAGGTTTCAAAACCCTATGAGAATGTTCCCCAGCGATGTTCACCAGGGCAGGGCCAGCTGAGGTGGGAGCTGGCCAGAACAGGCACCCTGCAGAAGCATCAGGCAGGAGCCTCCAGGGAGACAGAGAATAGGGACAAAGACCAGAGAGCCCAGGGCTTTCCCGGGGCTGCTGGAGGAGGCACAGGCCATGGCTGAGAATGCTGCTGTTCCCGTTTCCGCTCCACACCACCAGAGGGCACTCGGGGCCTGGGGAAAATCTGTGGGAACTTGGGTTCTGAATCCTTTCAGTGTCAATTACATCTTTTTTTAATTTCTTTTTTTTTGGTACCGGGGATCGAACTCGGGTCCTTCCGCTTGCGAAGCAGGCGGCCAAACCACTGAGCTAGATCCCCAGCCCCAAATTACATCTTAACCACCGGTGGATGCATGGAAGTAGAAGGTGAAAATGAGGCTCCTCATGGCCAGTCCAGGACAAGCTGGTCTAAGCACAAGGGAGGACTTCACTCTGATCAGGCTGATGGACCTGTGTCCCAGGCTTGGGGACAGAGCCTACCAAGGGGAGGAGGCTGGCCACAGTGACAGCTGAGCAGTCCACCTCCTCTAAGGGTGGACATCAGTCGTCACGGCATTGCCTCTTCCCTGTGCACATGGTAAGCCCCAGGCAAGTCAGTGGTGAGACTGCAGTTATCAGTGGCTTCGAGGGTGCAGATCCCTATCCCATCAGCTCTGAGAACTGCAGAGCTCCCTTTCCTGCATCTCCGTTACCAAAGCTAAAGCTCCAACGCTTGCCGGGGCTGCCACCAGTGCTACATTTCGTAGGGGTCCAGGGATGGGGAGAGTTGGGGTGCACCAGGCTGATGGTCAGGGCAGAAAGACCCAGGGGCACGGGGCACAGATCTCTGAGCCCCAGGCAGAAGCCAAAACATACCCAGACACCAGAGGCACAAGGCCGGAGGCCTGGACCAGGACCTCTAGGGCAGTGTCTGGGCTCTGGAGTCGAGAATGATCTGAGCCATTGCAAAGCAGAAAAGGCAGGCAAGGTGCCACCCAGAACACACAGCAGATGGGGAGGCAGAGGACTGAGTGTGTTCCGGCACTACCTCCTGGCAGCTGGAATGACCTCTGAGCCTCACTTCCTGTGCCTAAAATAGGAAAGACAACAGGGCTTCCTTCAGGAGGCCCTCCTAAGGTCCGAATGTGACCAGGCATGTAAGATGACCAGCCTGGAACCTGGCCACAGTGGTAATGATTACTATGATTCCATGCAAGAGTTGGATCAAACCAGAGGCCTCACCTATGCTTCCTGCATACGGACGGAATTGTGGTGCAGCTTCCCACCACAGGGGGCAGCGCTGAGCAGAAGGCCTACGTGCACCCCACACACTCCTGCACCTGGGCCCTGCTAGTGGGCAAGGTCATTGCATTGTGGAGAATGCGCTCAGCTAAGAGGACAGTGTGCATGGCCAGGAAAGGGCTGAACCAAGCAATGCTGTTTGTTAAGAAAGTCCACCTTTGACAGCACTGATTATTTCAGACATGGAAAATGGGGTCTAAGACTCCTGCTCCTCACAACCTCAGCCCTACCTTGGCCTTCTTCATCTCAGCCACCTCAGCCTGCAGCTTCTTCAGCTCCCTCTCATAGCGTGACTGGTTCTTGAGCAGCCGGGCGTGTTCCTTCTGTGCAGCCTGTAGCTTCTGCAAGTCCCGGTTCATCTCCCGCAGCCTCTTCTCATAATCCGCCTTGATCTTGTTGGCCTTCTCCTCTGTGTAGCACTCCATGGTGCCTGACAGCAGCAAGAGGCAGCCGTCAGAGCTGCGTGCCTGAGTGTTCCTGCTAAGTGTGGGCTCCGAAATGGGGGAGGAAGGTGGCCTGGGTTCTGGTCTCACTGTGTGACCTCGAGCAAGACACCCCTCTCTGGGCCTGTTTTTTCATTGGAGCAATGAGGGGGTGGGACTAGCAGATGCCCACCCTTCCTGCTCAGACATTCTATTGGAATGTGGGGGGTTCTTCATCTTGAGATCTCGGAGCCCTCGGTCCCCAGCTTTCCATGCGCAGCCCACTCATGCTGGCTGGGTTCTGACCCATTATCCGGTATTGGAGGAAATGGCTGGGGCTGGTGGGAAGGGGGAAGAGTTAGCAAGAGAAGACAGTGATGTGGGCTGCAGCAGAAGGAAGAAACTGATTCCCCATCCCAGACTCTTCCACAGGAAGTGCCAGCCAACAGACATGTTAGATGGAACGGGTACAAACCACCTCCTCATCCAGTTCAGTTAACTTCACCCCTCAGCTCAGTTAACATCATCACCTCCGTCCAGAAGCTCATTCTCTGAGACATCCTTGGCTTCTGTCTCCTTCATTTCCCACCCAGGCATCAATAAAACCTTTTAGCTCCACCTGCAAAATACTCAGAACCCAACCGCTTCTCACTACATTCCGTCACAAGCCACCTCTTCTGGGATCTTGAGCTCACGTGAGGCTCACGGTTCCTACATGATCGCCAGCATCCACTTTAGCTCCCCTACACACGAGCCAGAATGATGTTTCTAAAATGTTTTAAAATTTTACAGCACACACTCCTCTCAAAATTCCACACCTCCTCACTGCCCTCAGAGTATACGGTAATATCTTTCCTGTGACTGACGTGATCTGTGCCATTCTGGCCCCTTGTCCTTCCATCAACATGCCAGGGACACACCTGCTTCCTGTTGCTCGGTCCGCCCTAGAACTGTCTCACCTGCAAGCTTTTGCCTAAAAGTCACCTTTTCTGTGAAGTCATCCACAATCATACCTTAAAAGCCCCTAGCTAGTCCCGACTCTGTATCCATCCTTGCTGTAAATAATAATACTTGCTCTCATCTGACAAGCTAGAGATCCTACTGAGCTTTCCGTCTCTCCCTACGGTGTATACTCCACGAGGGCAGCAATTTCGCACACATCAACATCTTCCGCATCTAGACTAATGTCTGCTCCACACATGCATTCAACAAATGTTTGCTGAATAAGTGGACGAAGGAATGAGCAAATGAATAATCGGATGAATGGGCTGAGGAGCCATATGAGGAAATCGGATGCAAGAAGGAGGCTGATAAACTGGATGCAGAAGAAAAGGCTGGGAGGCTTCATGTTCATATGCCTAGGTATATAAAGGATTCGAATTTATATGTATATAAAATATATATATTATATATATATAATCCTTTATATATATAAAGGATTAAAGGATTCAAAGACGTAAGATGAGAGTAAAAAAGAGGTGAATTTAAAATGTAGCAGAGCAATTAGGTTAGACATAAGAACTTCTAACTGTGAGCCAGAGCCACAGTAGAAGGGCCAGAAGTCCCCTGAGCAGAAGGTCAGGTACACCCCCAAAACGCTGCCAGGTGGGGCAACACATTTGAAGAGCAGCCCCAGAAAAGCAAGGCAGATCCCAGGAGCTGGGGCCTGGTGGGTGGGGGTATCTAGACATCCTTCCCACCCCGCCGGGCCCACAGGCCAACATCTGGCTGTCCGGGAGGACATGGGAGCCTGCTGGGTCCCTACCAGCTGCTGGGTGTGCTCTGGCAGAGGAGGAGTTGGGGAAGGTGGGGCTCACTGAGGTTCTGCAGCACACGGTCGCGCTCCAGCTGCGTGTCGCGGATCTTGTTCTGCAGCAGGATCAGCTTCTCCTCGTACTGGTGCTTGAGCGTCTGCAGCCGCCGCTGGCTGTTCTCCAGTTCATCAATCAGCTTTTGCTTGATCTCAATCTCGCACGTCAGGTCAGCCAGGTCCGCCTGGAAGTTCACCTCTAGGACCCAGGAAGAGCTAGGCTCAGGCAGGTGCCACTCCGGGGAAGAGGGGATTCTCCAGGTCAACTGGGATCAATCAGTGACCAGAGGTGGGTGAAATGGGAAACCCCGTGCAGGGTAAATGCTGCCAGGTGGGGCAACACAAAAGGAAGGCAGATCCCAGGAGCTGGGGCTGGGGGCTGGGGGCGTCTAAACATCCTTCCCACCCAGCTGGGCCCAGTGGCCAACATCTGCCCGTGGTGGATGACATGGGACCCTGCTGGAGTAGAGGGTGAGGTGTTTGAGAGGATTTGGACCAGAGCCAGCAGCACGGACAGCACCCCTGCTTGGGGCCTGCATCTCAGCATCAGCCGGGCCTGTATTCAGTGCCCTGCTCTGCACCGACTACATCTGGGAGAGTTGTGAACCTCTCTTGAGCTCGTTCAGGGGTGACCTGGGAAACCCAGGGCCTAAGTGCAGGGCAGGAGCGAGGACCCCAAGCACCAAGCCGCGTGAAGGGCAGGCATAATAAGCACTCAGTAGGGATGTGCCTCCGTTAGGGTCGGCATCACCGCTGGGCGGGGCCTAGGAGTTCTGGGCCCTGTACAACTGCTATGCCTGGGAACTCCAGCAGGCGCGACCCCACCAAGGGCAGCCGAACCCTCTCTGGGCCGAGCTGTGACTGTCGGGCCCACCCTGGTCACCTGCCACAGGTGGCTCCTTTCCCCCAGCCCAGGCCCACGCACCCTTCTCGTCCGGGTCGGAGTCTGAGTCTCCCAGGCTCTCCTCACTGCCTGAGTCCTCGTCTTCATCCTCACGCCCTTCCTCCTCCTCGCAGCCACTCTCGTCTCGCTCCTCCTCCTCCTGGGCACCAGGGATATTAGGGCTGGGCTTGGCCTCCCAGGAGGGGAACCCAGAGGTGGAGACTCGGCAGATGTGCCACCCTGGGTGTGTCAGGAGGGGAGAAGCCACACCCTCTGGGAAGAGTAGCTGCCCCCAGCACCCTAAGCACAGCCCCCTGGAGGAGTCTCCTTTCCACACCATCTGTTTAGGATGAAGTGGGGGCCTGAGGGATGGCGACAACCATGGCAACCAGTCTGAGATACAAGGACACTCAAGGACCAGTGGGGCAGACCCGTGCCCACTGAGCGGTGTGCAAAGATGGCGACAGGAATGGGGGTGAGCCTGCGGTGAGGAGGGGGCAGAGTCCTCACCTCCTCAGCCTCATTCTCATCAGTCTCCTCACTGGTTTCCTGTTGGAGTTTGGCCCTCTTTTTGAAGGCTTCCTTCTCTGGGCTGCTGAAAAGAGAGAAGCAGAGGCCAGATTAGGGGACTAACCCTGCCTTGAGACAGGCGGGGGCGCAGCAGGAGCGGGAGAAGCAATGGCCCTGCCCACGGTGTATGGGGACAGGCTGGGTTCCTGCTCCACAGAGAATCAGCCGCCCCCACGGGGGAACAGCACAGCACTGGAGAAGGTGTGCGGGTGTGTAGTAAGGGGGTCTCTCTGTGAAGCGGCTCCACGACTTCCCAAGTGATCTTGGCGGAGCCCCCAGAGATGGGGCAAGGTTGGGTGGATGGTCCTTCCTGAGTTCAGGGGGAGGCAGTGGGAGACTCCTGTGAGCGACACTCCGGAGGCGCAGCGCTGCACTCACCTCTTCCTGCGCTGCCTGACCTCCTTCTTCTTTAGCCGCTCCAGGTCCTGCCTGGCCCTGCGGATCACCTCAGAAGCATCCTCCATGGAGTTGGCCGGGCTGCCCCCAAAGGCTGGGCCGGCTGGAGATGCTCCCAGGGAGTAGGGGCTCCGAGCCGAGGCCCGGGACAAGCTCCGCCGGAGGGACTCGTTCATGGCTTCGCTCTCCAGGAGCTTCGTCCTGTGTGGGACGAGCCGGGTGGGGATGAGCTGACATTGTTCCCAGCCCGGCCTGGCCAAGGGCCCCAGCCTGCTCATACCTGCTGGGGCTCACTCACCGCAGCTCCTCGATCTCCCGGATGTAGTTCTGGATCAGAGCCCCGATGGCCTCATTGCCATCACCTGGAGAGGGGAGGCAGACGGACGGTGTGGTAAGGACAATGAGTAACACTGGCTTTAAGACCCGCGGCCTTCTATCTGCTTCTAGAGGGCAGCTCACACAGCTCCATAAAAGAATCTGTATCAAGGAAATTCTTGCACATGTGCCCAGATGTACAAGAGCTCTGTTGGGGATAGGGAGAAACTGGAAATAATGTAAATGTCCATCAACAGAGGGCTGCTATAATAAATTATTCATCATCACACATGGAACATTATGCAGTACTTTAAAAAATTAAGTGGGTTTTAATAGGGGCATTTATAAAACAATGCCAAAGGAAAAAGGGAAGTCATAGAATGATACATAAGATCTCATATACAGAAAAAGCTCTGCATACATAGATGAATACATGTGTGCATATATTTATACTCGAAACAAAAGTGCTGATAAAGGTGTGAAAAATACACACCCAGCTGCTCATGAAGAGTCCTCCTGAGAAGCAGAGAGGATGTGGGTAGAATTTGTCAAGGGCATTTTAACCCTTCGTTTTGTATCTGATGTATTGCTGGCATGTTTAACAAGGATGTGTTCATGTATCGCTCATGTCATAAAAAATTGTAAAATCAGTTGGAAAAATATATCAGTGAATTGATGTGGGGCAGGTGGGGTAGAGGAGAAACCTAGCTTATGGATGTTCTGAGGCACCCCAACCTACCAGCCTTGGCCAGAAGCAGGTTGGCTTCCTGGCTCATGAGATGGGTGACGCGGTTGTTGATGGCATCGATGGCCTCCTGCATGGCCTTCACCCGCAGCCGCAGTGCCCCGTTCTCCTTCTGCAGCATGGCATTCTCTCGGTACAGGTCGCTGTAGCCCTCGGTGCCATCCTCTCCGATCACCCGCTTGCCCTGGGAAGGGCGGGTGGGGAGCAGTCAGGGGCTGAAACTCACAGGGATGTGCTGCTCCCTCTGCCAGTGCCCTGGCCTCTTCCGGGACATGGCAGCATAGTCAGTCTCCAGCCCCCAGTTTCCTAACACATAGCTCCTGTCTCTCTCTGTCACACGGCTCCCCTGTGATAACCAAGTCACCCTGCCATCTTACCTGGCCTATGTGCACTTTTCTATCTCCACACAGGCTAATCCAAGGGACAAACCCTGCCTGGGCAGGAAGCTAATGGCAATGAGTCAGTTGGTGTGTAGGACAGCAGGGAGTAGGGGAGGCTGAGCTAACAGTCACAGACTTGGTCTAACAGAGCCAGCCACCCTGTGACTCCAGTCAACTCGTGCCATTTGTTGTTAGAGCTTCAAGGTTTTCCGGCAAAGCTGAAACTGCAAGACTCAGGACATTTTTGGAAAGGCTGACCACTAAGGTGCATTCTTTTGAAACAAGCACAAGCCAATGTGAAACTATCTGTGTGCCAGATTCCAGCCACAGGCCACTAGTTGGTGATCTCAGCTTTGGTCACATAGAATTAGATACTTCCCAGCCAGGGATTTAGCTCAGTGGTTCCAGTGCCTGCCTTCTGGCAAGCGCAAGGTCCCAAATTTGATCCCCGGTACCAAAAAGAAATAGATACTTCCCCCAAAGCACACATTCTCATTTCTATTCCATTATGTAAGGCTTGTTCTCTACCTAGAATGCTTGCCCATTTTTATTTATTTATTTATTTTTGGTACTGGAGATTGAACCCAGGGCCTTGCACTAAGCTACATTCCCAGCCAGTTTTAAAGAATATGACTAAGCTGCTAAATTGCCCAGGTGGGGCCTGAACTTGTGATTCTCCTGCCCCAGCTCGAAGAGTGTCAGATTTACAGGCATACACCGCCATACCTGCCGCTGTGCACCTCTTTTTGGTGATACCGCATTTGTTCAAAAGGCTTCCTCCACGAGACCCTTTCTGGTCACCTGCAGGAGGAGGAAACACTCTCTCCTGTCCTCCTGCAGCACAAGGGCCTATTCCTGTGTCCCTACTGTCAACTATGCTGTCCTAGTGCAGCGATCTCACCTGTCCAGTGGATATAAAAACAACCTGGACAGCCTCTGCCCGGGCCTACTGTCCATGTAACAAAGGCAAGGTGCTTCTCTGCCTCAGACTTAGTATTGTTCTAAAGCCTGGAGCACTCAGATTGTGCCAGATGCACCTGGTGAGGCCCCAGTGCCGGGCAGACATGCCTGGCACACAGCGATGCTCAGGAGGAGAGGAGTGGGCAAGAGGCACGCTGGGGAACTCAGGTGGAGATGGCAGTGTGGTCCCCAGGGGGTGCAGGCCCCAAGGGAGACTGCGGGTGGGGCTGGGGAGGCACTCACCGCCTTGTACTCCATCAGCTCCATTTGCAGGCGCGCGATCTCGGCCCGCAGCGCACTGATCTGTTGGCTGGTCTTGTCCTGGTTCACCACTACCTTGTTCTTGATGTTGCGAGCCCGATTGGCATATTTGAGCGTGTTGAGTGTCTCCATGAAGTCCCGATCCGAGGGGCTCACGCAGGCAATCATGATGGTCTGGCTGGAAGTGTGGTCAGGCTGGGGTGAAGGCCAGGAACACGGCCATCCCCAGAAGCACTGCCTTGGAGCAGAAGTTCTGCTCCTACTCCGTTCCCCACTACCTTAGACCCGAAGGATCTGGGCATTCAGGAGCATGGAACCTGGGCATAAGGCTCTGGACCACCTGGCTGAGAGTTTCCACTGTGAGGGGCAGCCCATGAAGGCGGCTAACAAGGCAAGGATGCCTAACTGGAGAATCCCCCGCTTGATGATAAGGATCTGCCCTGGCCTCTGTGTTTTTCTACCATTTCCCATCTCTTGTTTCATTTGGTCATTTCTTTTTTTTGGTACCGGAGATCGAACTCGGGACCTTGCGCTTGCAAGGCAGGAGGTGGAACCACTGAGCTAAATCCCCAGCCCTATTTGTCTCGTTTGGGTAGTGGGACTTGCTTTGAGAATAGCTCTCCCAGCCTTGCAGATAAGGACACTGAGTCTGAACATAACTGGACAAAGGTCATGGAAAATCTCAAGGTGCCTGCACCCCAGGGTGGGAAGGGAAGGTCTCCTCCTCCTCCTCCTCCTCTTCCTCCTTCTCCTCCACAGGGCCATCATGGACCCCACCCCCATAGCAGGAATCCCCAGGAACCTCCCTGCCTGCCCTGGGTCTTCCCTGCATGTCACCAGTTACCTGTTGCCCCCCAGTGAGTCCTGGAGGAGCCGAGTGAGCTTGGAGTCCCTGTAGGGCACGTGCACCACCTTCTTGCTCTGGTCCCCCAGGGCGCTGATGACATTGCCCAAGGCCAGCTGCAGGAGACAGAGTCTGCAGCTCAACAGTCCCTCAGGGGGCAAGGGGCTGGCACAATGCATCCCCATGCATCCACCTGTCTAGCTGGCCCCAGCCAGCCTCAGGCTCCTGGTTGGGTCTATGGGCAGAACTGACAAACTGGTAAAATGAGGGAGTTGAGGCAAGGGTGAGGGCTGAGAATGAAGGCCTAGAGGCCCATAGGTGACGACTATGGGTGCCCCGGCCAGCAGCTGGCAAGAGGCCCAAGGAAGACTGGGCAGCCATGGGGTTGCGGGCCTCGGAAGGATCTCAACCTGAGCGGCTCTGACTGCTGGGACTGGCGACCCTCCATGTGCCTACCAGGCCACAGTTGATGGAGATGCCCTCCTTGGCCCGCTCGCCGGTGGCCCCTGTCCGCTTCAAGCGCTCTGAGCCAGCCAGGTCCACAAAGTGAAACTTGGCCGTGAGAGTCTCATATTCGCTCGGAGGAGCTGCACCCTCTGGAAGGCCGGTCACCGCCTCATGCCCCTGCAGTGGAAGGCGGCATCTGACTCCCCCAGCCTGTGCCCCACCTCGCTGGCTCTCTGCTCCTGACTGGCCTCCCCATGGAACAGCTCGGTGCCTCGCGCCTTTGCACGTACAGCGCGTCTGACGGGAACCCAGTCCTTGCACACACCTGGCTCCCATTCCATCTCCACAACACAATAGAGGTGCCATGAGCCCATTGCATAGATGGAGTAAATGAAGCTCAAGAAAAAAGAAAAGGAAAAACCAACAAGTGGCAGAGGCGAGCCCTGCCTGGTTTGCTGGCTCTCATCTCGCCTTCCCTGGAGTCCCCTGCAGCAGACAGCTCTTGCATCCCGAGGGCTCCTCACCAGGTCGGGCTGGGCACACACACGCATCTGGCACAGGTGGATGGTGAAGATGGCGTGGGAGCGGGAGCTCTGCACGTTCATCTGGGTGCTGGCCGTGGTGCGTGACAGGGCGCCCTGCTTCAGGCACTGGATCAGCTGGGGACAGAAGAATATACGAGGATTCAGGGCCATTGTGCTGCCAGCCTCTGGTCTTTCAGGAAAACCCATGCTTGCCCTGGACCTTCAGAGGCTGCTCACCTCCTCCTGGGAGTTGATGAGACGAGAAGTGACGCCCGTGGTATAGATGCCACCGTTGGGATCTTCGTGGATCTTGATGTTGGACCTGCGGTGTCGAGCGTCAGTGTCACGCGTGCTATCAAACAGGTCAAGGATCTCCTCGTTGTAGAGCTGTGGCAGGAGGAAAAGTGGCTGGGTCTGCGTGGCCCACAGCAGGGGCCCAAAGGGGCTTTCCCGTGTTTAGAAACCACCTCCATTTTGCAGAAGTGGAAAGTGACACCAGGAGATTAGCTTGCCCAGCGCTGTTCCCCTCTGGGTTCTGAATTCCAGGCTCCTCCTCCTAGAGAGGGGAAGGAGGATCCGCCGGGCCCTGGCGGCACAGTTGCTCCTCTCCCCAGGGAACCAGCACTGAGCAGCTCTCAGTCCCAATGGGCTAAAGGGGACACAGAGGTATAGGTCTTGGATGTCAGAGATGAGGAAGACCACGATTTGGGCAGATCTTGTTATATAAGTGGGCAAGGAAAGCAGAGGTGAGGGTGTGATTCCAGATGAGAAAGGGCAGAGGCAGAACTCAGTGGAGGCCAGGGAGTCCCACCCTAATCCTGATGTCCCTGGGACTGAGGTGATGGCAGCCACCCGGAGAGAGGAACGTGGCTGTGCCCTGTGCTCAGGAGGAGAGGGGAGCACGGAGCAGACCACAATGTTGAGCCTCCTGGGAAGATGCTGTGAGGGCTGACCTGGCCAGGAGCGGCCACGCTACCTCAGTCTCAGCCAGAGATTTCTGTGAATGGAACTGTGGACCGGGAAACTGTCGCCTGCTGAAGGCTGGGATGGTCAGCAGACAGGGAGCTGAGGCTCCGAGTGCACAAAGGGACGGGGGCAGCTGGGGCAGCGAGAGAATCTCGAGGGGCAAGAGGAGAGAGGGAACTGCAGCCCTCGGACATCCAAAGGTTTGATGGCATTAAAGGGACAGAAATATCCTACAGGAAGCGGAAGAGGAAACTAAAGGAAGAGATGGTGAGCACGGGGTGCCGCAGTGTCTGTCTATTTGGGTCAGACACACTTGTGTGGCTTAACCCCTTGTCGTCGCCCTGTGGTATGGATTGTCTAAGGGCTGCCCTGCTTTTGAGGGTTCTCTGTGGCAACAGGATGGAGAAGAAGAAAACAAAGAGCGATGAAGGAAAAGCCTACAGTGACACTCAAGGGGCAGGACACACACATCACGTGCAGACACGTGCATCATGCACACACAGAAGCAGGCAGTCTATCAGGAGCAGAAGTCCAGGACACAAAAAGCTCCAGAGCCTAAAATACTGGTCCCCTAAGGGGAAGGTAGTGGCCCTATGGCCCAGGAGGGAGTGACTGGCACAGCAGGTGGGACATCGGGAGGAGAGAACAGGGCTGAGGCCACATCCATCCCTCCTTCTAAGGACAACCAGAGTACAGTCAGAGAACCAGGGTTGGGGTGAGAACCCAGGGTGCTCCCAACCTAGTAAATAAATGCCCTAGGCCTGGGGTTCTTGGGGGCTTAGATGTTGAGAACTGGAGTTGTCTAACCAAGTGTCCCAGAGGAGCAGTGTGGTCAAGCTCATGAGAAAAAGGTTCACTTGGCATCCTAGAAAGCCCTCTAAGAGCTCCCTTCAAAAAGGAGCTGTTGGGCTGGGGATTTAGCTCAGTGGTTTTGCCGCCTTCTGCGCAAGCGCAAGAACTCGAGTTCGATCCCCGGTACCAAAAACAAAAAAAACAAACAAAAGAGGGAGCTGCTACTGCTGGTGTTCCTGACCTGGGGCTCAGCACAGCCGACATCAGAAGCTCAGAGACCCATTCCTTCACCCCAAAAGCGCCTGGCTGCCACAGTCCCAGGCTGACATCCTCCCAGAGACAGGCAAGATCAGAGGCAGAAGAAGGCCCCTCCTGGAGGACCTTTCTGTTCCATAGTCTGAGAAGCTTCACAGGGCCAGGAAGCATCTCAGGCAGAAAGGGACAAGCAGGCTGCTTGGAGGCAGAAGAGGTACCCAGTTAAGGGAGAGAACTAGAGCTCTCATCCCATGCCAGGCATATGGTTCCAAGCCACCCTCACCAACCCTTCCCTCGAAGTGGTGAAATGACATGCTCAAGGTCACAAGTGACAGAGCTAGAATCAGTCAAGGTCCAAGGAGATCTTGCAGGGCATCAATTCAGCCCCATGTGATACAGGAAACACTTCAGTGTCCCACCAAGTGGTCCCCCAGGCCTTGCTTGGATACCTCCAGCATTGGGGAACTCACCTGTGGATACCCCCATGCCTCTGGGGCTCCCCAGGCTCATTCTCCTGCACTGGAGGAGGGTCAGTGTCTATGACACCCACCATGTCTCCCTCCTGCCCACCCCACAGACCACGGTACCTCCAAGAACTGAGCGCTGACTTTGAACTCAGGCCCAGCTACACCCTGCTCCTGTGCCCGCCGCTTGCGCTCAGCAATGCCCCTGAAGAGGTGTGCGATGGCTCTTGGAATGATGCCTTGCTCCTCCTCCGATGTCGCCATGTCAAAGCCAGTACCCATAGTGTACGTTTTCCCAGCCCCTGTCTGCATTGACAAAGACAGAGTGAAGGTGTTACCCAGGGCCACCAGCCAGACCTGCACCTGGCCAAACCCTCTCACACATCTACCTGCAGCCTGGTTCCCCTTCCACACCCAGCGGAAGTCTCTGATGACAGCTGCCCTGTGTTATCCAGGAGCATAGCAGCACCCTCAGACAACAGACAGAACTACACCACTGTGTCTCAATTGCTCTGGAGGTAAGGCTGTCTCCCCCATCAGATGGGAAATCAAAGATAGGTGGCCCCTGGTTGGGAGGAAGGGTCTTACCTGCCCGTAGGCCAGCACTGTGGCATTGTAGCCCTCGAAGCAGCCCTCAATGAGCTTGCTCACACAGGTTGTATAGATCTGTTCCTGCCATGTGTCCAAGTCGAAGACAAAGTCATAGGTGAAGGCCTTATCCTTCCCCAGCAGGACTTGGGGCTCCCCCGGGGTGACAGAGGTACAGATGTGACAGCCCTCAATCTTCTCCTTCGACAGCTGGGGCCGGATCCTGCCGGAATAGGAAGACCCTTGGGTCAGGTCCTCTTCGCCCACATTACCTGCCCGCTTCCTCTTTGCCACTCAGCTTTGGTGATTCAGTAACAATAATACAAACATCACCAAAACAGCAGTTGTTAACATCTACACAGTACTCAGTGTATCTTGAAGCTGTTAAAAGTATTTTATAGAAATTAACTCTTGTGCTCTTTACTAGCAACCCATGAGGTACCTATTGTCTGCCTGATTTTACAGATGAGAGATGTGAGGCTGAGAAAGTTTAAATGACTTGTCCAAGGTTGTATGATGGAAAGCAACAGGTCCATGTCACATGAAAGCCCATACTCCCGGCTAGACCAGGAGCCCTAGAAATCAGCACTCCTGTGAGCAAGGGGAGAAGACAACTCGCCTACTTCTGGGGAGACAAAGCTCAGGGCCAAGGTGGGGAAGAGAGGGGCAGGCCTCCACATTCCTGAAGCCAGGGCTAAGTTCTGGAGGAGGTCAGAGCTTCTGCCAAGGCCTGAACGCAAGGCCCAGATGCAAGGTTGTTATGGTTCATAGTAGCAAATGTCCTGCCAAAGACTTGTGTGATCATAGGCAGGCTTTGGGGAAGTGATTGGATTACGGGGGTGCTATGGTCACCAATCTGGTGAGTTAAGTCCACCAACTGGTTAGTCCACCAATGAGTTTATGGCTAAGTGTGTTGTCAGAGGGGGCATCTGGCTGGAAGAGTTGGGTCGCTAGGGGCGTGGCCTGGGAGGGTTTATCTCCTTCCTGTAGCTCCTCCCTTCACTCCGCTTCCTGCTGCAGCTTTACTTCACAGGCCCTTCTCTCTGCCCTTTCAGCACTAGAGCCAGCTGACTATGAACTGCAACCTCTACACACTATGAGCCAAAACAAACCTGTCCTCTTCTAAGTTGTAGATGTCAGGTATTGTGTCTCAGCGATGAAAAAGTGACTAAGACAAAGGGTCCTCCAGCCTGACAGCTCCCTCCTCAGATGCCAGAGCCTGGTGGACATTCTCAGGCACAAGCTTTGGCTCCTTTCCAGGAGCTCCGGGGCCAGACCAGCCACAACCCTGGCAGCCCAGATCAAGCGAAAAGCTCTCTGTGAACGGCACGGACCTGCAGAAGGGACACTAGGTCAGCTACAGGCTGGGCCCATAACCCAGATCCTGGCAGGCTCCCCTGTATAAGTGAGGGAGTGACATGAAGACTGAGTAGGGAGCCAGCCATGGGCAGAACTGACTCCATCCAGCCACCCCCTCTTCCCTCTCCTAAGCAGCCATTACCATGACGAGGTCCCCATGGCAACCAAGCATGAGTCAGCGAGCATGCGTGTGCAAGGATTGGCAGAAAGCACCCCCAAACACCCTAAAGTAAAGGAGGGTTAGTTTCTGATGCCCATGGGTTCACACAAGCCAGCCCCAGTGCCCGGATGCTCACAATGAGCCGCTTGTCAGGCTTCCTCTCCCTAAGCCAACATTTATCAAGAGAAGAAAAGAATGAGAGGGACCAAGCCAGCACCCACTCAGGGACCAGAGGCACCCAGCCACAGAGCCCCGGCCTTCAACCTGCCACCCTGTCCCTGTCCCTGGCTGCTCGGCCCCAAAGGCCCACTCAGATGCAGAACAGGCTCGGTGCTCACCTGAGCCTGGTACCTGTCTGTGCTTTGCTGGGAGGGAGCAGACTGAGGAAGTGGGGAGATCCTTGGGCAGTGAAGCCCTCAGGCTCTGCCCCACACGTTAGTGTCAGGGCTTCCTTCTGAGTGTTCTCTCTGAGGGGTGAACTAGTCCTCACGGGCGAGGAATGGAACCCCAAGAGGTTGCCGCCTGTATCCAGAGGCTTCTGGGTTAGGCTGAAAGCAGAATTAGCATCTCAGCCTCGGCCTGACTCAGCTTCTAACTGGTGAGGGCAAAGCTGATTCCTCTTCACCCTCTCCGGACCTACAGACTGGCAACTGCCCACCCCCCAGCCCGCCCTAGCAAGGCTCCTACCTTGCCTTCTATCTCTATGCCAATCACCCAGCAGACGTGCTGAGTTCTTACTGTATGCCACACGGTTACTATAGGCCTGGCATGCAGTAACTCTGTGTGTGTGTGTGTGTGTGTGTGTGTGTGTGTGTGTGTGTGTGAGAGGCGGTACTAAGGGTTGGACCCAGGCCCCTACCACTGAGCTTCATACGCAGCCCTTCTTTTGTATTTTGAGGCAGGGTCTTACTAAGTTGCTCAGGCTGGGTTCAAACTTGCGATCTTTCTGCCTCAGTCTTCCAGAGTGTTGGAATCACAGGTGTGTGCCACCACACCGGTATGTATTAATTCTGACTTCACCATAACCCATGAGGTCACTACTAGTGCCCTATTTATAGATGAGGAAACTGAAATGCTATCATCCAATCACAGACAGTAAAGAAGCCAATTTTAGTATAGTCTGGACACATTGCCCTTTCCATGGTCCTACACCACACTGCCTCTAGGGATCAGGTCTCGGAGGGCCAAGGGAAAGTCTCATACTCAGGAAATAGCACAGACAACAACTGAGGAAGGAGAAGTGTGCCACACACACGACACAGGTCAGGAGTCTGGGCTCTGGCCCTCAGGGCTGGCTAAGACAGACACCTCCTCCCAGGGGAATCAAGTGCTGCCAGGTAAAGCAAGGGCTGCCCGGGCAGTTCTGAGAACCCCGGAGCTGGGGGGATGAGCACGAGCTCCTGAGGACACCCTCTTCCCCACGTGTCTGCCTGCGATGGGATTTCTGGATCCAGTTCAAATACCATTTAATTACCGCAGGCAGATGGCAATGCTGGTGATTGGAGGAAATCGAATCAGCATCCCTGGAGACAGAGGGAGTAGTCAGGGGGAGCAGCAGCCTTGCTGCAGGGCCCCTTCTATGAAAGAGGAGCTTCTCCTTTGGCAAGTGGCCCCCAGACCCGGGCAGCCTGCCTGCCAGGAAGGAGACAGTGGGCAGAAGAGCAGTCTTGGAGGAGGATGTAGAAGAGGTTACCCCAGGGTTTCAGCACCCAAGAGCTGTGGAGTCAGCTGGGCATTCACCCTGGGATGCTTTGTTGGCCCAGAATATCCTCATATGGGGTTTTCTGTGCCACCCAGCCAGGCCAGTCCAGTCTAAGCACCAGGGTGCTTTGCCAGGGTGCAGGTGGGTGAGCAGTGTCACCTAGAAAAATTGGTACAAGCTGGGAGACAGAGGTCCTGTGTGTCACTAATTCCCAGAGTAAGTGACCTGGAAGGAGAGAGTGTCAGTCACAGGAATGGAGCGGAATGAGTAATCGTGGATGGAAGCAAAGGAGAAGGAAGATTTATTGCATGGGTGCTTTCTGTGAGCTGGTACTGGGCCAGGCAGCACCTCAGTTTACCTAGTGAAGTGATGCTATGAGGTAGGAATTCCAATCCCATTTCCCAGAATGGAAAGTCAAGGGCCGGCCGAAGTGGTGAAGTCACACAGCAAATACAGTGAGGCTGGGCGTCAACTCTTTCATGTCTCTGGCTGCCTCCTACCCAGAGAATTCTCAATCCCTAAATCGCCACCGTCAGAGCCAGGGGCTGGGGATGCTCCCTGAAGTCTCAGTGGAAGTTCACACTGGGCACTGGGCCGGCCTGTCTTCCAGGGCTCACAGTCGAGGGGCAGCAGACTGGGTCTCCGTCCTCCCGGGGCTCATTCGTCACCTCACCCTGCTCTGTGGAGAATTCACAGTCTCTGCCCAGCCAGAGGAGCCCAAGGACCAGGGTTCTTGTCCACTCTCTGCCCTCCTGTGGGAGTCTCCCCTGCCTGGGTCATCTAGATCTCCTCCCAGCCTTCCCTTCCGAGAATTCCATCACCCTCCCTTCCAGCAGCCTCTGCTCCTGGTCCCACTCTGGGCGAGGCCATTCTGTGAGCCTTCCAGGCCCACCCTACCCCAGCAAGGAAGGAAGAAGTTTCCCCTGGCAGCAGGATGGGACCCACTCATTCCCATTCCTCCCTGGGCCATGGGAGGAGGGTCAGGGGACAGCCAGGGATGGGGACAATCTCTAAGGTCTTCTAACTAAACCATGGGTGAGGACTAGGGTGAGGCATTCACTTCCAAGCACAAGATTTAAGGACCAAAGAAAAATCCTCGGCGATCAAGATAAATTAAAATTTAATGTAATTTAAAAAATTGAATTGGCAAAATATAGGTCTCAGGCCAGCTGCATCATTTTGTCAATAAAGGTGTGTGGCCCAAGAGCCTGGGTCATTTCTGCCAGGGAACCTCCCGAATCTCCCCCAGGGTCGTCTGGCCCCAAGCCCCACCCCTCCGCCTCACTCCATCTCTCCCGGGTCTCGCAGGGACGAGGGAGGGGGAGGGCTGGCTGGCACCACAGCCCCGCTCAGAAAGGGCCCCGGAATCCCTAGAACAGAGCCGGCCTATTTGCCACTTGGCAACCCGCAGGCTGAGCGGCGGGTGAGTGAAGAGAAAGCGCCCGGGAGCTTTTCAGAGGCAGGATCTGGCACGGCAGCGAGGGCGCTGAGCTTCCTCGGCTCACAATGGAGCAGGGGCCGGTGTAGTGTCGCGCTGTCCCCCACCCCGAAGGACAGCGTGCAGCAAGGGACACGCGGGCGGCCGGGGAACCCCGCCTGCAGGGCTGCCCCCACCGGCTCGGTACCCACGGCGGCGGGGACAAAGGCTGCAGGAAGAGCTGAGCTCAGCGGTTCCTTGGCTCTTTGGGGAGCCAGGAGGACAGGGCGGAGGGAAGGACAGTGGAGACAGGGAGGAGCAGGGGCGGGGCGGGGGTGAGGGGTGCTGAAAGGTTGCCAGGGTAGAAAACTCCCTCGGCAGAGGTAACAGCTGGGCACATCCGGCACGTGCCTGGAGCCCCACACCCAGCCCACAGCTGGGAGGGGGGGCAGCCCAGCCTCACGCCCACCAGACTCAGTGACATCACACCCTGTCGGCCAATCACCCTCCTAGGAGCTCTGCCCCGTGACCTTGGGCTTCTTAGGTGAAGAAGTTAGCCTCACCCAATCAGCTGGGTAGGCCCCT